GGTGCACAGGCTGCAGTGAGATTGTGACAATGCTGAGTGCACAGGCTCAGTGAGATTGTGGCAGTGCTGGGTGCACAGGCTGCAGTGAGATTGTGGCAATGCTGAGTGCACAGGCTCAGTGAGATTGTGGCAGTGCTGGGTTTACAGGCTGCAGTGAGATTGTGGCAATGCTGGGTTCACAGGCTGCAGTGAGATTGGGGCAGTGCTGGGTGCTACAGTATTATCTATAACTCCCGCACATGTGTACAGAGGAAATGTAAAAATTTGGTTTAAAAATTAATTTTTCATACTAAAACAATTTTTGCAGGTGCTCATACCTTTCATAGAAAATCAATCTGATATATAGTAGAATATTAGACTTTTCATGATAAAGACATTAATTTGGTAATTATTTCATTTATTATTAACTTACTGTGCATTGTTGTTGTTATGAGCCATCAAATCATCTGCAATTAATAGCGACCCTGTATACAACAGCTCTGAACCCTTCTCTATCCTGAGCCAACCTTATTGTCTCTGACTCACCTACACCCATTACCGCAGTTATTGAGTCAATCCATCTCATCGAGAGTCTTCCTTTTTTGCACTGTACCTTCAACCTCCCAAGCGTAATGTCCCTCTCCAAGAACTGGTCTCTTACTGTGCACCCCTTAAAATTTTTGCCTTCTCAAATCAAAGATACATAGAAACTGTACAAGGGACGTAGGGACCAACCACATACACTTTACCACCCACCACCCTGAGACCAGAACAGGATGGTGGCCTGCTGATAACTTTAGGAGGGCATGTAGTAGAGGGTGCTGGACAGAACAGGAGAAAATGTGCAGAAAAAAGTGTAAATCACGGAAATGATCACACTTGTTGGTCTCCTAGAGACTGGTGAACGCCCTGGGCCTGTGGCCCTTGCAGCTTGATAAACCCACAGCTAGCTCGGCCTGTGACTAATAAGGTGAGCAGGAGACCAGGGAGGTATTCACTCCTGGGTGACCACTTGTGCAAGATCAGCTGGGCAGTATTTGCCTAGGGAGGAAGCTCAGAAGGCCTCAGGATCCCTGTGAAGTCTCTGCGTCCCACAGTGAGGGTACCGAGTGAGCAACGGGACTGGTGGGTGGCCCCCCAGGCCAGCTCAGCTGCAGTCCCTGAGGATTAGCTCTGGCTCTATAGTACTTACTTCAGCCTGTGTTGTCTTGGACACCCTTTATTGTGTGCTCAGCATTCTGCAGAGTTAGGGATGATTTAGGACAGCACTCCACCTTCCACAAGTGTGGTGGCTTTCCGATCACAGCCTGGCAGGAGGGGATGTCCCAGGGGCCACAGGTCAGTCATTGGGCTGGGAGAAGGATTTCCTGAACTCTGCTTTACTGTCAGGGAGTGCCTGGGAGTCCGGCACAGTGGTAGGAGACCCTGAGGACTGAACCTGTGCCTTTCCATAGATTGCTCAGTGGGGAGGGCTCCTGAGGGGTCGTTTTCCCAGGAATGTTAATCTGACTTTTCTGGCTACCACTGGAGACTCTCATTTCTTCTCTTCTTCCAGGGGCATCATCGAGGCACGTTTTGTTTATGTCTTTGTCCTGGGCATCCTCTTCACGGGCACCAAAGACTTACTCCGGGCCCAGGTTGCTGCTGCCGGTATCAGAGCCAGGACCATGGGCTTGTGGGAGATATACAGCGGGCTAGTCCTGCTGGCTGCCCTGCTGCTCAGGCCACACAACCTCCCTGTGCTAGTGTGCAGCCTCCTGGTGCAGACTCTGATGGCCGAGTTTGTCTGGAAGCCACTAAGCCACGATGCAGCAGAGGTGACCGTGATGCACTACTGGTTTGGACAGGCCTTCTTCTACTTCCAGGTGCGCTTTCTGTCTGCTTCTCAGTCAGCTTCCTCCAGAGAAATTGACAGTGGGGTAAGGTCAGCATGTGCACCAGGTAGTGCTTGCTCAGGTGTCTAGCTCGGAGGAGAGGCGAGGCTGTGTCAGGGCCTGGGGTGAGGAATGTGTACCCATATTCCCTCACCAAGAGCTCTTATGCATATGGGTGTAGTTCCTCTGTCTGCTGACGTAACTGTTCTTTGTTTTGCTCCTGGGCGTCAGGCACTGGCAGTCCTGTGTGGTCATAGATGCCCCAACTGTCTGTCCTCTAAACTAGTGGTTGTCATGTCATCATCTCTAGGGCTGAAAGGCCCCTTGGAAACACGCAAGCTACTGGTGAAGTAGACTTTGACTTAGACATAGATGAGGCCATGCCCAGCTGGAGGCCCTTGCCTGCCTGTCTGCAGGCCCTGCACACCTCGAAACCCATGACCCCCTCCAGGTCCGCTCTCCTGAATAAGACAGTCCCTCCCTGCATAGGTGCCGATGGCTGTTCCCCAGTGTGTGACCTGAGGACTTGGATCAGGAGTGGCCTGCCCTCAGTCCCCAGCCATTCTGCATCTCTGAGCTCTGTCCTCTTCCTCAGTGTGGAGATAATCTGTACTGTCCCTGTGTGGTGACACCTCTTTCTCCTGCCCAGTCCAGAGGACAAGTCAGTCCCACCACGTCTGCCTTTCTCACGTCTACCTGTGTCTGGGTACAGCACAATCAGTGTGCACTGCTCCCTCTGTCCCATCATCAGCCCCAGTCTGCAACAAGATGAAGCCACTCAGTGACAGCAGTAAGCCATGGTCCCGCCCAGCTCCTGTGTGACATTCTGTCCCCTGTCAACCAGGATGCTCTCCAGTGGGATGGCCACCATTCTCCCTACCTCTTAGGGCATGGGACACTGGGACACGTGACTCCATCCCAGGCATCTCAGCAGATACCTGCAGATGGCCAGCTTTCCTGTCCTGTAACTTCTGTCCAGGGCTACTGAGTGGTCACCTTTCCTTGAGAGTGTGTTGTATGTGGGGGGGCAGCACTGATCCTGGCTTTGCTGGAGCAGTCAGCACCACATTGGCTCTCAGAGCAGACCTATCACCCCACCAGAGTAACGCTTCTTCTCCGGGCACCTTGGATGAGCCTTCACATGCTTCTCAGCAGGCTCTCGTGGGGTCAGGAGCCAACCTAGTTCTGGCCTGCTGGCCACCAGAGTCTACTGGCCTATGACAACTGTGCCTCCTCCTCCTCAGGGGAACTCCAACAACATCGCCACTGTGGACATATCTGCAGGCTTCGTGGGTCTAGAGCACTACGTAGAGGTTCCCGCTGTGTTCCTGACTGCGTTCTCCACATACCTAGGTCCTGTCCTGTGGGCCAGTCACCTAGTAAACTACCTGAGCTCAGAAGCTGGCAGGTGAGCCTCTTCATTGTACAGCACAGCTGCGACCAGTTGGTGTCACCTGTTCTCAGACAATGCTTTTATCCATTTCCGTGACTCTGTGTTCTCTCCCCCTGAGGGGGTTGGGTTGTATGAATCTGGTCCTCTTCCTTTGAGGGTTGCTGGGTGGTGTAGACTCTTGTATCCTCTCCCTCTGAAGGGTGTTCAGGGGTGTGTCCCGTCCCTCTGTGAGTTACTGGGTGGTGTGGACTCTGTCCTGAATCTCTCTGGGTTCTATGGTGTAGACTGTGTCCTTCTCTCTCTGTGGGTTGTTAGGTGGTGTAGACTCTGTATCTTCTCTCTCTGTTGTCTCTCAGGTGTTGTAGATTCTGTCATCTCCCTCTTTGGGGTTGCTAGGTGGTGTGGACTCTGTGAAATGTCAAGTGACTTGGGCCCTGTGTACATCCCTCATGAGTGGTCAGGCCACACAGGCTCTGTTTCCTTTGCTGACCCAAGAGCTACCTTAGCTGGGTGGAGAACATGAACCCTCCCTTTCTGTGGATGTAAAAACAAGACTGACCACCTGATGCTGAGAGCTGTCCCCAGGACTTATGTTCCCTGGATGCTGGGTCTGATCTTCCCAGCTCCACCACCTTAGCTTGGCTAGAACTGGCCGACACCCTAGAGCCCTGGCACTCAGGTGTGAAGTGGTCTGGGCCCGTGGCTGGCCGCCCCAGCACTCTGCAGTCCTGTCCATTTCTAGACCTCTGTGCCGAAGGCCCTTGTATGTTCAGGAGCACAGCTTGTGATGGCACATGGGAAAAGTCACATGGACACATTAGTGGATCTTCTCCATAAAAAAGTATTCTTGCTTGCTTATGTCTAAAAGCTCTAGCCATCAAGTTTTATTCACTGCTTGGTTTCTGTCTGAAGTAAAAAGTCAATATAACTGTGATTGGACAAATCATTTCTGGTACCTCAGATGTTGGACCAGAGCGATCAAGAATCCTGATAGCCATGCAAATGCCAAACCAGGTGGTGTGAGTGGCTGGCCTCTCAGACCACTGTCCTCAAAGGACAGGCTGCACCTTTGCCCTCCATGACATGGCTAAGAGGGATGTGCACTTGAGAATTGAGGGCTGATCACAGACACTCCTAGGAGAACCGAAGAATCATCAGCTGACCATGGACGCCATACACACCCAAACCGGACCAAAGGGTTGTCAGCTGACCACAGACACCAAGGATATCTTTTCTAGGTCTGAAGGGTCATCACCTGATTACAGACAATGCAGAATCCCCCCCAACAGGACCAAAGGGTTGTAAGCTGACCACAGACACGCCCCTCACGGAGCAAAGGGGTGTTGGCTGACGAAGGACACCATACAAGTCCCAATATGTCCATGGACTACACCTTTTCCAGGAAAAACCATTGACTAGCTACAGACGCCATGGCCACTCCTCAGCAGGACCAGAGAGCTGTTGCTGACCGCTCACATCATGAACACATCCCCGGTAGACACTAAAATTTTTCTGACTGACTAGTCACTGGATGGAAACATCCAGGAAGGAGTAAACCATTGGGACACACACACCACCAGCTCGGCTGACACAAGACAGACTCCACCTCATGTCACACAGAATGCACATGTACATCACCAGACAGTGCACACACCTCACCTGACACACAGCACACACACCTCACCTGACGCACACCTCAGCAGACACAAACAGTGCACACACTTTACCTAAGACACAGCACACACCTCACCAGATACACACAGTGTACATACCTCACCTAAAGCACAGCACACACACCTCATCAGACACATACAATGCAAACACCTTACCTGACACTCAGCGCACACCTCATCTGATACACAGCACAGACCCCCTCACTTGATGCACAGCACACACCTCACCAGACACACACCTCACAGTACACACCTAACCTTACACACTGCACACACCTCCCCTGAAACAGCACACATACCTCGCCTCACACAGAAGACACATTAGCAGACACAGAGCACACACCACCTCTCCTGACACAGTGTGCACACACTAACTACTCTTTCTGTTCCTTCCACAGCCCTGCGGCATTGCGTCACTCCTGCTTTTGTTATGCGCTTCTCTGCTCCCTTCCAGTCTCTGCATATATCATTCTGGTGACGTCCCTGCGGTATCATTTATTTATCTGGAGTGTGTTTTCTCCCAAGCTCCTCTACGAGGGAATGCACCTGTTGATTACAGCTACCATTTGTGTCTTCTTCACAGCCATGGACCAGACCAGACACATGAAATCTTAGTTTTAACTGTATAGACATGGCAAAAAGTCTGCATCAACTGGCTGGATTTAAGAGATGAGGAATCTGTCTAAGTGCAGCAACATTCTTTTTAAAGGGGAGAATTCCAAGATTAGTGAATAGCATTGATTTCTTTGCTTACTATACTTGAACTTGGACTAAGTAACAAGGGGTAATGTGTTATCTCTTCTGGAAAAGGACACTTTCAAACAATGAGTTTGTTACCTTTGTCAGCAGACATTTAAGAAACTTCTGAAGTTATGCCTTCTTCTAGACCTGTTCAGAATAGCCCACCTCTCAACAGATCTAGGCACTCCTGCCTGTTTATTAGGTTCCCTCCATATCAGTTTAAAAGTCATCACAAGTCCAAAGACCTTTTGTTTATGTGGGTTATATAAATTGATGTTTGTGGTATTTAAGATTTACACTAAGAAATTTCAGAATTATTAAAAACAATAAGCCCATGGCATGTTAATAAAATGTATTTTTTAAGAAAATAATTATATTTTGCAAAAAAAATATTTTATGGCAAGCATAGTATTATTTATGAATGGGAATACCAGAAATTTCAGAATTATTTTATTAAAAACAATAAGCCCATGACATGTTAATAATGTATTTTTTTAAAATATTTTTGTTATTTGTGTGTGAGTATGCGTGTGTGTACCGTCAAATCGTATCTGACTGGCATAGGAGGAGATTGTCCCTCCTTCTCCAACAGAGCATTTGGTGGATTCAAACCGCTCACCTCTGGGATTGCAGTGCAGCTTCTTGCCACTAGGCCACCAGAATAAAATGTATTTTTTAAGAAAATAATTAAAAAAAATATTTTATGGCAAGTGTCCTATCTGCATACCTTTTCAACCTGTATGCAGAGCAGATTATCCGAGAGGCTGGGCTCTGTGAGGAGAAATGTAGCATCAGGATTGGTAGAAGATCTATTAACAATCTGTGTTATGCAGATGACACAACCCTGCTTGCTGAAACTGAGGAAGACCTGAAATGCTTGCTGCGGAAGGTCAAGGACTGCAGCCTTCAATATGGATTAAAGCTCAATGTCAAGAAGACAAAGATTCTCACCACTGGACCAATTGGCAGCATCAGGATGGATGGTGAAGAGATTGAGATTGTTAA